TTTTGCTAAACTAATTTTAGTACTAATCGCTCTATAATTAAGGTTTAGGGCTTTGCCTACATTTATAATAGAAATATCACCGCATAAATAAAAATTAGTATCGTTGGCATATTGTTGTATTTTTGTTTCTTTTTTGCCTATAGTTATTCCTTTTATGTTTTTGTTTTGTTTTATATAGGTTGAAAATATTTCTGCTTGTATGATGTATAAAATCATGGATAAGGGGCAACCTTGCCTTACTCTTCTCAAAATTTCTATAACTTGCGAAATTTCTCCGTTTATTTTTATTTTAGCGTTTATTTTATTATAAATTGTTTTTATCTGATTTACAAAAATCTTATCAAAACCAAAATGTTCAAGACTTTTAAATAAAAAACATCTGTCAACTCGGTCGAAAGCTTTTACCTGATCTATGGAGAGAATGCATGCGTCTAAATTTTCTGTATTAGCAATGCTTATTATGTCCCTAGTATAACTTAAGTTGTTGTTCATAGTTCTATTTTTAATGCACGCTGTTTGATATTTATTTATTTTATTGGTAATATATTCACCAATCTGTTAGCAATTGTTTTAGTTAGTATTTTATAATCTACGTTAGTCAGTGATATTGGTCTCCAATTTCTTATGTCATTTTTGTCTCCTTTTTTTAAATATACATGTAATTAATGCTTCTTTTTGTGAGAGTCAATTCGCCTGTGCTTAACGCGTTATTTAGTGTTGCTGTTAGATCTTTAAAGATAAGTAAAGCTTTACTCATCAAGTCAAAATATTTTTTGTAATATTCTACTGTGAGACCATCTGACCCAGGCGATTTATTATTTTTCATTTGAGACAAAGTTGCTTTAATTTCTGACTCTAAAAACTTTTTTGTCAAAAAAGAATTTTTGCGCGCTGTCACTTTTTTAATTTTAATATTGTTTAATAAAAATTCTTGAGATTCATTTATTTTCAACTTAAAGAGTTTTTCATAAAAATTTTTTGAATTCCAAGATAATCTCTTCCGGCTTAGTAATTGTTTCGCCGCTTTTATTATTAATTTCTGAAACATATTGTTTAGAGAGTTTTTGTTTCTCTAAATTAAAAAAATATTTAGAGCATTTTTCCCCCTCCAGCCTCCATCGGATTCTGGTTCTTATAGCCGCCCCTTCTGCTTTTTCTTTTTCTAAATTTTCCAGTTTTCTTTTTATTTCTCTGTATAATATTTTCATATTTTCATTTAAATGCATTTTTTTAGAAGCGTTTTTTAAAGATTTTAAAAGTTTAAACTCGTTTATCTTTTTTATTTGGTTTTGTTTTTTCCCAAAACGCTGCGCAGCTTTTTAAACTTTTTCCTTTCCACATTCCCACCAATCTTTTATGTTAGTAAAATTACATTTATGGTTCTCCCATTCTCGCCACGTTTCTTTTATTATTGTATTAAATTCATCATTTAATAAAAGTTTATTGTTTAATATCCAGCATCCTTTTCCAAATTTAAAATCATTTGTTTTTAGTATTACAATTTGAGCATTGTAATGGTCTGTTAGAACTGTTGGTTCTAAAAAGGTTTTTACTTTTTGTCTAATTTTTTTGCTTATGTAAAAACGATCAAGGCGAGAATGGGATACTCCGTTTGACGCAGCAAACGTGTATTCTGCTTTGTTAGGGTTAAAAATCCTCCACGTATCCTCTATTTCCAACAGATTTAACAAAGTTTTTAAAGTTTTAATAGATCTAGAATAATTTTGAAAAAGCGCTGGGTATCTGTCAATTTCAGACATAGTTTCATTAAAATCCCCTCCTATTAAAATTTGAAAGTTGTTTAAATTTTTATTGCGAAAGACATTTATCAATTCACGAAAAAAGTTTTTTCTTAATAACTGCGCGTTTCCGCCAGAGCGCGTAAACGTTAATTATTAAATAGTTTGCATTATTAATGTTTAAAGCCACATAATTATAACTTCCATTTTGGTCGTGACCAAAAAAAATAACTTTTTCAAATCGTCTTTTGCATAATATAGCAGTTCCGCCTGTTTTATTTGTTCCTAATGAGAAATAAATATCTCTTTCCCACTCGCTTTTAAAAATATTCAAAATATCATTAGTTATATGAGTTTCCTGTATAAGAAAAAAATCATATGGTTTATTTTTATATGAGTTAATAATTGTCCTCCGCTTTTCCGCATTTCGCAGACCATTAACATTTGACGTTAAAAAACTTAAAATTTCCATTTTTAAACTTTTACTAAAATTTAATTAAAAATAAAAAAAAGTTTGCCATTTTTTATTAAACTCTCATTGATCAGGAAAAAGCTTTTCGATCAGAATAAAGTGTAATAAAATCGTGAAAAATAAAAAATAATAATAATAAAGATGCATACCATCACCACTTGATCGATTATTTCTGCCATTTCGGTTTTGGAATACCGTTTCGTCCTTCACGTATTTTTTTTCTTTGTTTTTGTTTCACTAGTTTGCGGGTGCGTTCTTTTACGATCGTTTGCTTGCTCCATCGTAACATCGTCCTCGTCGTTTTTGTCTAAATTATCGTCGCTCGATATTTCTCCATCTTCCATCTCGTTTTTCTCATATTTAGCTTTACATATCATTGGTATTGTGGTTTATCCTCCTCCAGCTAATTGCCATTAGAGGCCACATTACCAAGGCCCGCAAAGACAAGTTTGGCTCCCCAAGGAGCGTCATAACCCGCTCTACGGACCAAGAGTAATGTGAGTTTAGGAAGAACGAAGATATGTTAGAGTGAAAGGCAGAAGTAGTCGTGTTAGAGAGACAGCAGAAGAAGTTTTACATATCATTTTAAATGTATGTTTTGTATTGCATGTTGTAAGTGCAATGAAAATGCAATTTCGTACGAAGACAGGGCTACAAGAGACTTGCTTGTGGTAGTCGTTACAAGAAAAAATACATATATATTTTAAATTTAGTAAGATTATATAGTTGAAGGAAAACTCGCAGAAGACTCGGAGAAGTCTTATCATCGAGAACATTTAAATTATAATGAAAACTAGAAATTTAAAAAGCGAATTTTGTAAAATACACATAAACATTTTGAGGTCTACTGCTATTTTGGTTGATGAGTATTTAATTTAATTTTCAATCTTTTAAAAAAGTTCTAAGTATTTCTTTAAATTTAGGATCAGACTTTTGAATTTTCTTTTCAAGGAGTTTTGATAATCTAGATAAAAAGTTGATTTATTTTCAGCTATTTGTTTGTTATATAAATAGGAGCCTCGATATGAAACAGAGAATTGGGAGAGTTTAGTTTTTTAGAATAGTATAATAAAATTTCCAGCTTCTCTTGTATTATATTTATTAACGTTATATTTAAAAAAGTTGTTAATAAAATCATATGATACCTGACCTAATTTAAATTTTAGCATGAATAATAAATTTTCATTAATGTTAATTTAATAAATATTACGCACCTTTATTTCTCTAAAGAGGGGTTCAGTGTGTGTAGATTTGTCTTTATGGTGAATTAGTCTTAAGGCGTGTATTTGACGTTGGTATAATAATTTTAATTTGGTCATATAGGTACTCGCCCAAGTTATATCAGCGTATGTTAGGTATTTGTGTATAAAAGAAAAGTAAATAAGATTTAAATTACTTTCCAGCAGCATAGGCTTTGCTTTATAAAGTAGACCTAAGTTTTTTGATATTTTAGTATTTAATGCATTCATGTGAGCTTTTCATGATATATTTTCATCAATTACAACTTCTAAAAATTTAGTTTCCAGAGTTTTTTAATGGTTATATTTTCTAATTTTAGCAGAGATAGAGTTGTTAGTAATGTGTTTCCTATTTGTTTTGAGTGAAATAAGGTGTATTTTGTTTTTTCATTGTTAAGTGACAATTTATTAGCTCTAAACCATATACTTAGTTATTTAACTTCTTTATTTGTAATATATACAGATCATGGGTGCTTTTTAAAGAGTAAAATAAATTTGTATTGTTTATAAATATAACTTTATTAGAAATTTACTTTGTAAGGTCATTTATATAGAAAGAAACAAATCAGAAGCATGAATCGAACCTTGAGAGACACTGCATGTTATTTTAAACAATTTTACGTGGTAATTTTGATCTGTAATAATACACTGTTGTCTGTTATAAAGGTAACTTTTGAACCATTGCAGTGTTTGTTTTTTTGGTTTTGTGGTCTATGTATTTGAGTGATTTTGTGGTCTACTGTATAAAACGCTTATGAAGACACCTAAAACAAATATTTCATTGAATGATTCACTTATCCTATTAGTGAGGTCGAAGATAGCATACTCTGTTGAGTGCTGTGTTTGAAAACCATATTGTTTTTCATTTAGGATGTTGTTTGTAATAAGGTGGTTTTCAACGTTGATTCAACGCTGAAATGTTTGCTGGGTAACTAACTACAGAACAATATCCATTCTTCCCATATTATTAAAACTCATTGAACAAATAATTTACATCCATCTATATGAGTATATAGATGGATGTAAATTATTTGTTCAATGAGTTTTAATAATATGGGAAGAATGGATATTGTTCTGTAGTTAGTTACCCAGCAAACATTTCAGCGTTGAATCAACGTTGAAAACCAGTCGCAGCGTAAAAAAAGCGTTACAGTCACAAAAACAACGTGCTTTCAACGTTGAATCAATGTCTGTTTTTGTATACTAAATCGCGGTAAATTGAAACGTTGAATAAACGTTGAAATTGTAACGTAATTTAGCTTCTCAAAATATAACGTTTATTCAACGTGGAATCAACTTACGCAAAAAGCCACTTTAAAAACGTTTTATATGCTTTATTAACGTTTTATATGTTTTATAAACGTTTTAAACTTTATAAACTTAATAACGTTATAAACTTTATTAACGTTTTATATGCTTTATAAACGTTTTATATGCTTTATTAACGTTAAAAACAAACCGCTTTTTAAACGTTACATTTTCAACGTTGAATAAGCGTATAAATTTAAACGTATCTTATCTTCTCAAAAAATCGCGTTAATTCAACGTTGAACAAAAGTCAGCAAATAATCACTGTAAAAACGTCGCAAAGTTTATGGTTTATCAACGTTAGACATCAGCTGCTTTTTTAACGTATTTAAGTTATTTATAAAACAACGCTCATTCAACGTTACATATACCAACGTTGAAAGTGTAGTAATTAAAAAACGTTGAAAAAGTGTTACTTTGCCAACGTTAATAAAACGTTGTTTTGACAATGTTGAGGAAGTGGCACATTAAAAATTATTGTCTCAATAACTAGCCATTACAAAAATAGTTTGCCGTAATAGAAAGGCAAGGAAAACTTAATAGAATGCATGCATATGGTTTGAAAATATTTTAATAAAGTTATATTTTATAACCTATTTTTATTGAGAATAATTTAAAACTTAGATATTATATCAAATTGTATACAATATACAAATATCTCAGGGTAAATTCGATTTATTCAGGTTATTTTTATCGAATTTATATTTATTTTAAGTTGACCATTTTAATAAAATGTTCAACTTTTTTAAATATGTTAGAAATAATACTTAGTTTTAATAAGATTTAAATGTGTAAAATATTATCAAAATTAATAAAACATAATAAGTCAGACTAAATCAAGTCTGTTAACAGACTAAATTCTTAATTCATTTAAAAAACTTTGAACACCTCACCCTAATAATCAAGTAAATACTTTAGTATGAGTCTTCCACTAATAATGAAAATATGCATTATTATGTTTTTTTTTTTTGTATAAAAACATGTTTGGATAAATAACTTTATTTCCATTTTTTAAAAGAGCTTTTAATTTTATCAGGAAAAATATCTTGTCTTAATTATAGAGTTGGTGTTGTATATTAAATTCTAACAATTATGTATATATATATATATATATATATATATATATATATATATATATATATATATATATATATATATATATATATATATATATATATATATATATATATATATATAATATATATATATATATATATATATATATATATATATATATATATATGTATATATTTAAATTAAAAAAATGCTGCCTGTTTAGATAATCGATTATAATGGCTTTACAATCTTGGGATTTTTTTTTTTTTTTTAAAACAGGGTTGAAGCAGAGGCATTTATTCCATCTTGTTAGGTGAAAGATGGATGTTTATTTTGTCCAACTGGTGTTCATGCAATGAAAACTGCCTATAATCATTTTCCAATCGATGATTTCTGCAACAAGCTCAGACTTAAAAGAGTTAAAGTAACTGGAGGTCATTAAATTTTACAATACTGATTGCTAATTTAACTGTTTTATATGATTAAAAAAACTATTACAGTTTTATATTAACGTTGAAGTACTATACCAAAAAAAACTAGTTTTTTTTTTTCCAATAAGTAATATTTTGAATCTGTTTATGGTATTATTATTGCCTAGATATATATTGTAATCTTTTTACACTTATTATACATTTTAGTTTTTACATATTTTTGTTTATATTTATTTTACTAAATAATTACTAATAGATAAAGAAGTATGCGAAGAATTTAATTTCCTAACTACAGAGTACTCCAAAGAATGTAAGTAATTATGTTTGTGAATACTTTTGTTTCTCTTTTGATTTAACTTTTCTTTGTTTTTTATATGGCAAAGAATAAACTAACACCTAATATTAACTATTGGTCAAAGCTAATTTTAATATTACTGTCTAAATTATTTGACTTGTGGTAGTTTGATTACCAGTGTAATTTTATTTAGTGAAGTTTTGGTGGATAAGGATCGAGGAATAATATGGTTTTAACTGGTTTCGATCTTATGAACAAAGTTTGTATTATGATTTAAATTTATAATTTATAGTTACACCTATTGAAGTAAGTTTTGTTTAGGTAATTAATGTATGGATATATGACTATTTTTAGTTGTAATATATATATATATATATATATATATATATATATATATATATATATATATATATATATATATATATATATATATATATATATATATATATATATATATATATATACAGTATGTAAAAAAAATAATGGTACACTTAAAAAAAAATTGTAATTTTAAAGATTGCATTAATAGATTAAAATATTTGAAATTTTTTTTTAGATATCTTAACAAGTTTTGATTTAAGAATTTATTTGTGTATTGGTGAGTTAATTGCTTTTTATACCTATTAAATTTTACTCAATTGATCTAATGATGCATATAATTGACTGCAAAAAAAAAAAAAAAAAATCGTACAGTTCAAAAATAATGTTCAATTGATCAAACTTCATGAAATTTAGTATCGAGTGGGCATCCTTTGGCCTTGATGGTCTCAGCTAGACGATTTGGCATTGAGTTTTATAATTGTAAAATAATCTTTTGAAAATGTAAATAAATTTTACAAAACATTAGTAAGTGACCAGGGCCTTGGCCCCAGCTAAAAATTAGACTTTTTGCAAACCCGGCCCCGCCAAAATTATAAGATTTAGCATTTAAAAATTTGTAATGCTTAATATATTATAATTTTATGCTTGCATTTACTATTTAATAAATACTGGCATATATTTGTATATTTTAAAATCTAATTTACTTCCAACAAGATTGCAAGCAACCACTATTAAGTAATGAGTTACTTTCAAATAAAGAACCAATTAAAATACTAGGAAACCTATAACTAAAAACATAAAAGGTGTAAGTTTTATAAAAAAGGAAAATATGAAGTTTTGTAACAGTTATAAAATTTTTTTGATGTTCAAGGAAAAAAATTGAATTATTTATCATGCTGTAAAAAGATTTTATAGCGTGAAGGAACAAATGCAGTTGTTGAATAAATGGCCAATTGAGAATGAATTTTGGTTTATCGTTTTAGAGATGAGAGTTTGTTTAAGCATTGACTATGATTGTATTTGTAGAAAAAAGAAAAAAATGCAACCTTATAACAATGGGAGAGTGGCTCAACCTTGGCAGATAAAGCCAATCTTATTACATTTACAATATAATTTTAGACTTTGTCTGAGAGTAAGAGGGTTGTTATTTGTCAATATAGGAATGCCAACAATATTGTAATATTTTTTTTGCAGTTGATAAATGAGTTTTGTTGTCTAACAAAAATTGTGGATTTTAAGTCCAGAATTTTAATCCATAAGCCACAGCAAGCCTTGGGCTGTTACAGAAGAGAGGTCAGATCTAAAATTTGCTGCTTGTTCTAAGCAATTAAAGATGATTTTTTGTCAAGACAAGAGTGTAAAGTGGATTCATGAACAAATTTAGTCACTTTAGATTTCATTATGATTGTTATTGTAGATAAAAAACATTATAGGAGAAAATATAGAACCTTGTGGTTCTCTTAAAGTTACTTGAAATAAAGAAGAGGGTAGGCCTTCAAGAATAACTTTACTACTGCAGTTAGAAAGAAATAATTTAATAACCTCAAAACTTTTACATAGAAAATTATAAGAAACTGATAACAGAGTGAAGAAAAATTGTAGAATACTTGCAGAGGTCAAGGTGTTTTCTTGAGTTTTGAAAAATTTGAACCATGTATTTAGCACTTTTTAAAAGTTTAGCAAAAATTGTTGAGAGTTCTGAAGAACACTTTTTTAAGACTATGATGGAAATCTTGTCTGAAGCACAAATGGTAGAAGTGTTTAATTGAGAATTAATTTTAGTATTGGAAGCCAGAGTAATTAAGATGCTTAACAATGGATTATTCTGTTTAACTGTCGGGAAGAGTATGTCCATTATATTCAAGAGAAAATGATAGTAAGATTTCTTTGTAAATAGCTATGCTTTACTCTGGGGTAAAGTAAAAAGATCAGACCCATGATTTAGAGAATAAACGTTAGACTTACTTGAGTTAATAACTCTGTTGAAAACTAACCAAAAGTCTCTAGAAACTAACATTTAAGAAAAGATACAAGGTTTAGTAAATTGAGAATAAGAGATTTACATCAGACAAGACATTTGCTTATTGTAATAATAAAAAGGATAAATTGTTCTTAAGAGAGATGTTCTTATAAAAAAGATAAAAAAAGTGATTAATGTTGAAAGATATAGAGTAGAATGTGGCTTGACTTAAAACTGACTTAAAGAGAAGTAATAAAAGCTTCTAAACTTTTATTCCAGAAGCAATATAAGTCTCCAAGATGCACTTTTTGCACACACATTACGGATATAATCACATCTGTTTGCTATTTGTTTAGATGCTGGCATACAATATCCTTTCATTGCTATATAAACTTGAGTATTTATATGGTGTAGTATTTGCCAAAAGAGAAGATGATCAGATGGATGTGTGGTGTGACTCTAACAAGACATAAAAAGCAGGCATAATCTTAGACAGATTTTTTTTTAGAAAAGGTTTAAGTAATTTAAGTATCAACATGTAGAGTGGTAGCAATTTCAGTATAAAATGTATAGAAGTAAGAAAATTCGAAGAGTTTACCTTACATATTGTATAAATGAGCTTTAGTTAGGAATAGAAGTGTACTAGATTGTTTATATTAGGAAAACAGCTTAAAAGAATAAGGCTAAAGCCTAATGGTGATGATGATGATAATAGAGATAATGGTGATGATCATGATTATGATGATGATCATGATGTGCGTGTATATATATATATATATATATATATATATATATATATATATATATATATATATATATATATATATATATATACACACACACACACACACATATATATATATATATATATATATATATATATATATATATATATATATATATATATATATATATATATATATATATATATATATATATATATATATATATATATATATATATATATATATGTGTGTGTGTAAACTATTTATATATATATTTATTTTCATTTTTTAAATTTAATAATGATCATTCTAATTCAAGAACATTTGCTATCAAACTGCTAATGATACAAGTTTTATTTTTTGATTTAGATTCTGTATCTTAATGATATCCTGACCTATCGAATCGATATCCTGGTAATCCACTCACACACATAAATTTTTAAAAAAATGTTTATATTTTTATCTATATATCTATAAATTGTATATTTTATATAAATAAATTGTATATTTTCAAATTATTCATTGCATATTACTGTTTGTATTAAAAATCGATTTTAGATATATTACAAGTACAGAGCTCAACATACAATTTTGTTTTATTTGACAATTCAATATACATCATAGCATAGTTTAATTACATTTAATAACATTTTGCGATATTTTCTCCAGCGCATTTAAACGTTGATTCAACGTTATATTTCAACCTTTACTCGACGTCTTTGAGTCACGTTAAATCGACGTTTTACTGCCAACGTTAAAAATCCTTGCAAAATCGACTGCTTTAACAACGTTACAGTAACGCTTTTCAAGTAACTTTTTTTCAACGTTAAATTGCGATGCCTTTGCAACGCTTTTTAAGTAAACTTTTTCAACGTTTAGTTGCGACATTTTTGTAACGTCTTTTAGTAACGTTTTTTTAACGTTACGCTACAACGTTTAGTCAACGTCTCTTAAACAACGTTACATATCTTTGCAAAATCGATTACTTTGTCAACGTTTCCGCAACATCTTTTGCGACCGGTTTTTAACGTTAATTCAACGCTGACATGTTTGCTGGGTAGAAGGATTCCCCAGATTTTTAGACAGATACTATTTTAGCAATTTTTAGATTATCGGGTACAGTTCTTGTAATAATCAAGGAGTTGAAATTTTGGAAAATGCGTTTAAGTATTTCAGGAAGACCATTCAGAAATAAATTGGTTAAGATATTATTGGTACCTGGACCTTTATTTTTTTTAATGTTTTAATTGCAATTTCAAGCTCTTCGTATTCTAGTTCCTTCAAAACAATAGAGCAATCAGAGTTTTTCAAGGCAAAAATACATTAACGTGGATATCACCAAGTTTTGTCAAAGCAGTTATCAAATTAATTTGAGGTTCAGTTTTACGCTAAGGCCAAGGAATCTTGAATTAAGGATAATTAATTTATAAAATAATTTCCTTGATAATATATAGAATACAAATACATATAAAATATACTTCTTTGTAAGCATTCAAAAACATTATATTCTTAATCACAGTGGCCCTCAACATATTCAAGATCGATCAAAATGTCAACGAAAACTGTTTTCTGATCCTTTAAGAACTTTTTTTTACATCACAAATTTGTTGAAATTAAAAACCAAGCTGCTAGTCCAAAATTTTTAAATGACTTTCAAATTGACTATTTTTTCCTAAAAACGTCAATGTCCGGTTTAAATACTTGATAGGATATTTATTTCTGAATGTTCTTCCTGAAATACTTAAACGCATTTTCCAAAATTTCAACTCCTTGATTATTACAAGAACTGTACCCGATAATCTAAAAATTGCTAAAATAGTATCTGTCTAAAAATCTGGGGAATCCTTCTACCCAGCAAACATGTCAGCGTTGAATCAACGTTGAAAACCGGTCGCAATAGGTGTTGCAGAAACGTTGACAAAGAAATCGATTTTGCAAAGATATGTAACGTTGTTTAAGAGACGTTGATTAAACGTTGTAGCGTAACGTTGAAAAAAAGTAACTAAAAGACGTTACAAAAATGTCTCAACTAAACGTTGAAAAAGCGTTACTTAAAAAGCGTTGCATAGGCGCCGCAATTTAACATTGAAAAAACGTTACTTGAAAAGCGTTATTTTAACGTTAATAAAGCAGTCGTTTTTGCAAGGATTTGTGATGTTGGTAGTAAAACGTCGATTTAACGTGACTCAAAGACGTAGAGTAAAGGTTGAAATATAACGTTAAATCAACGCTCAAATGCGCTGGAGAAAATATCGCAAAATATTATTAAACGTGATTAAACTTGGTTATAATGTATTTTGAATTTGCAAATAAAACAAAATTGTATGTTGAACTCTGCACTTGCAATATTTCCAAAGTCGATTTTTAATACAAATAGTAATAACAATGAAAAACATAAAAAATATACAATTTATTTATATAAAATTTACAATTTATAGATAAAAATATAAACATCTTTTTTAAGATTTATGTGTGTGAGTGAATTTACAGGATTTACGTGTGTGAGTAAAATTTATGTGTGTGAGTGGATTTACAGGATATCGTATCGATAAGCCAGGATATCATTGAGATACAGAATCTAAATCAAAAAATAAAACTTGTATCATTATCAATCTGAAAGCAAATGTTTAAAAAATGTTATTGAATTAGTATGATTATTATTAAATTTAAAAAGTAAAAATAAATATACATATATATATATATATATATATATTATGTGTATTATATATATATATATATATATATATATATATATATATATATATATATATATATATATATATATATATATATATATATATACATATATATATATAAATATATATAAATATATATATATATATATATATATATATATATATATATATATATATATATATATATATATATATATATATATATATATATATACATATATATTGTGATTGTCGTAATAGCATAAAATAAGTAATTGTTTTTAAAAATAACACGACGTTTTTTATTCTTGAAATGTTTTGTAGTAAACAACCGGGGTTGATATTTGACTGGGTTCGGAGCCGGATTTGATAAAATATAGCTGGGGCCA